TCTGTGTGTGTGTGTGTGTCTGTGTGTGTGTGTGTGGGATTGATACCCAAATAGCCACATAGCCCGAAAACCAGAGTCTGGTCTGAAAGCCAGATAGCACGGCACGATCTGGTTTACAATTCATGCCATTGCTGCAAAAACAGGAATGCATTTTTCCCATTTAGGCGACTTAGGAGCCATTCTGCCTCCTCGCTGCTTCTTTTCCATGCAGCCAGCCAACCAATGCCTGCCACGTCAGATGCTAAAAGCTATATAAAATACTACGGTTTTCTATCAATAACACAATGCTCTTCGCCGTCTGCTGCACATATCCTCTTGGCGCGGACGCACCTGCACACCAGCAATCATTCCGAAAAGGCATGTACTCCCAACCTGCATCCCAAGAGAGAGAAAAATGTTAAAAAAATGCACGCACACATCCAGTCAAATTTCTCCTTTTCTTCAAACTTATAATAACGGAAATTAAGGAAAAAACGAACACACATGAAATCAGACTTGTCCCAATCTTCGCTTACAACATGCATACATGTACGAGCCGATGGCAAACCAACTTCGTGAACTCAGAACCAGCAATGAACTTGCACTGGCGACATGCGCCCACACAGAAAACTCAGAGATATGGCTTCTGGTCGGAAACTCAGCTCAAGTCAACTGTTACAACTTGTGGCTATGGCCGCCGAACTCTGTCTGAAGTCCCCACTGAACACTGTCTACACCATCAGCCTCCACCTCACGCACACACACACACACACTCAAACATCTACCCCTGAATGTCCACTGCACATATGCACACACTGTACACTCCGTTGAAGTCAGCAGCTTGGCGGCTATGGCCGCCGTCGTCTTCCTCCTCCTAGCTATGGCCGCCGTCGTCTTCCTCAGCCCGCTTCTCCTTCGGGCACCTGCAGACCTCCACCGCACAAGTCGCTCCAGCAGCGCTTCCGCAAGGCTCACAGGCGAATCAATGAATGGCTGTGCACTGCCTCTTTATTTATACTGTGTCAAGGTGGTCTGGCCTGCTGTGCCCTTGGCCCTGGGCCCCAAACCGCGTGGGCCTGGGGAGGCCCAAACCGGAGGGGCTTGAGAAACCCAAACCGTGTGGCCGTCTGAGCCCCAAACCGCATGGGAAACCGCATGGGACACCAACCTGGTACTTGCTGACTGGACGGGGTGGACTGCCACCTTGGTGACTCAGACGCGGCAAGTGGAAGGGCAAGGGCAAATTCATGCACGCACACAAGTGAGCACACAGTCACACAGAGTGGACAACAGCAGACGTCGTATTGCAAGGATTCACATCATGGATGTCCCATCCCTTCGTCCCACCCTCTTTCCACAACCCCAAGAACCTCCGTTCTTTCCTCAAACAAAATTAGGCAGCCGACCCCGCCAGCTGACACGAGCGCCAGCTGAAGGTGCCGGCCGTGGTACGAGTCCGCTGCACGAGAGGAGTTGATAACTACTCATAATGCTATATATAGTACATACAACACCTACGCAATGCGACACTACTCCGTCCTACAGTAAAAATGATGCACCAGGCTGGCTGTCAGGCGCCAGCCCGGACCCCTTTTTCCTGCAAAGTTGTCCAGGACTTTAACAAACAGTCCCACCGGAAAACCCTCTCGAATATAGGCCATCTTTAGCAGGATAACCTGCCCCGGGATCTTCTCATGAATCGACGAATTCCGGTCAATGCGGGTAAGCCATTCTGAAATAGCTGCTGCTTTTTGGCTCCGACTGGACCAAGAACAGAAGTCCTGTCCGGCCCGAACCTCCAAATCCAGATTCAACTTTAGGCAGTCCTCATTCCGAACCTTCTGAAAACAACCCAGGACCGGTTGTCGTTCCTGAACCTCCAAGTGACAACCAAGAAACTCCCAAACCCCCGATCCATTGTCCGTACGTTTGAGGGACAATGTACGGGGGTAACAGTCCTCAAAACTCGATCTGATCTCACAGGCGGTCATCAGGGATAGACCGTCATCCTTCTTACACAAGCAAAACAACGACACATCATCCATTAATCTCTTAATACCAAACACTCGATTACGCCTACTACCCAGGGCATCCAGGAACGACAACTCCGCATGCGCGCACATAATGCAAGCCAGTGGGGGACTCATGCTACTCCCCATAGGTATACCCAAAATCTGTTTCAGGAGTATACCAGAAGCTGAGGTAAAGGTATGGGCAAGATTAAACTTCACAAAATTCCTCAAATCCGAAAAGGAAATCTTGCACCAACCCAACTCAGCTGCCCCACTGTATACAGAAGCTCCACGTCACTTCCTGTTGACCCAGACATATTTCCTGCCTTTTCGACCGTGCCAATCCAGTAACCAGTCCAGAGCCGCAATAATCGAACTATGTGGGAGCCGAGAAAACATATCTTTAATGTCATACGAAGCACCCAACAATCTCATATGCTTCCCTCGCCGTTCGACCTGGTGGTTGATCCTGTCTAAACGTCCTCGCAACTCCCCAACAGATTTCAAATTGAAGTGCAGGTTAGTAGGCAAACCGTTAAGAAGACAGTTCAGGCCTTTTGCAACTTTCCGACTGGCCGGAGTACATGGTTCACTAAACGTAGGGCATATGGGGCGAAAACGCTCCAAATCCTTATGTTTAGGAATCACGTACCCCTTTCCGATACTGCCCTTCGAGATCCACTTACCAATGCGGTTGAGGCCCAAGCTATGGTAGTCAAGCCTCGCTTGATTCAGGATTTTTTGAGTTTCGGTATCTCCCTGTGCGACATACCCGGGACTTCGTACAAACAATTCCTGACTAGCCTCGTAGAACAGTCTGGGGCACATAACAACGGTCTCACTTGGATTACGATCCACCGGGGCCAAAACCAACTCGCTATACAAGACCTTAACACGACGCACAACATCTACCGTAACGTAGTCTGAATTCCTGCGTGAGACATTAAGGCACGATTCTAACTCAGAGGGGGAGAAACACAAAGGAAGGTAACCCCCCATGCTCCAGTTCTTACATGCATCCTCCAATTCCTTACCCAACATCTCAATTCTCCGCGGTGCAGAAGCTCGAGGGAATTTGCAGGCATTATGGACGAAAGAAGGGACTCGCGGGTCCTTCCATATCCGAAAACGCAAGTGCCCATGAAACCGAGGAAGCGAAAGGTTCGCACAAGTGCAAACAGCAATATCCCAGCGTGCATAAAACCGGTGATTATGCAAAATATTAGCAACGGAGGAATGTCCACACCGTTCTAATTTTACGCTTCAACGCCCCACGAACACACTCCGAAACAGGCAGCTCATCGATCTTGCCATCCAGCGGCCTACGTACACCACCCAGGCTAATGCGGTCATCAAACTGTGTGTTCGCCACTAACTTCTTCTGAAGTTCAAAGCCATAGCCCGTCTTGATTGCAGAATTTACAATGCACCGAAGTAAAGACCTCGTACCTTTTCGTTTGAAATCCTTGATAACCGGAAAAAGGCTCAAAAGAAACGTCAGAGCGCAGGGAGCGGCTGTAGGCTGCTTCTTCCTGGATTTTAACAAGGAGATCAAAAAGCGTTTGCCCTTCGCATTGCACTGCCGCCACTTACGAAGATGTACGACCACAACAGATATCCGTTCCTCCAAGGTCGATTTACATTCCCGTAGGAGACGGGTCTTCCCTTCCCTTCGAACAATAGTCTCCCCGAACCATCTTTTAACTCTCTTCCATTCTTCGACCCACACATTACCCCCCGATGTAGCCAATGTGAACCCTACCTCACGAGTTTTTTCCCTCTCTAAAACGAGCCCAATCAACTTCGTGCTAGTCCTCCTGTGGTTGACACCAAATCTAATTCAACTGATCTCCTCCGTTACCGACTTCGCAGTTGGCTTGCGAGCGTTCCTCTTTCGTTCACTCTTACCTCTTCGCTGTCGTCGAGAACTGGTGAGACGTCAACCAGTGGTATTCAAAGCAGGAGACCAATGTTTAATGTAGAAGTTCTCGATAGCAACCAAATCATCAGGAGCACTGCTAGCCAAGGGCAATAGAACGTAACTCTCCCTCCCATAGGTTCGTAACCACCGGTGAAAGTGTGTTCCCCCTCCCTCCCGCATACACTTTCCGTAGTGTTCTGTCCACCTCACATCTAAATCCCATTCCGTCTTCCCAATATACACTGCCTTACAGTAAGGTGAGATAGCCACGTATACACAACACTTAATCTCATCCAAGCCCTCCACATGCTTCAAACACCAGTTCTTCCAATCTTCCACAAATTTCCTAGCCCACGGAATACAGCCCCGAAGAGCCAAAGTAAACAACAACCAACGATAACTAGCTTTCAAGGGAGGTAGGTGCTTACTTCTACGAATCAAGTCACGACATAAATCCCACAGACGCTCCGTCAACCAGGTTCTTCAGGTCTCGCTATCGCTGTCTTTTTCGGAAACTTCCGAAGATGAAGCCGACTCAGTACTGCTGTCAGATGCGACCGGAGTCTTACCCTTGCCAAAGTTCTTCGCTGCTCGTTGCTCCGCAATAGCCGCGATCGCTTGGTTTTTGCGCACTTCCCGCCGACTAATCGCCTTAATTTCCTTATAGTCCAAAATATCGAGTTGTTCCACCGTTTCTTTCACGTAACACTCCCTAGCATCCGGTCCACCAATAGGTAAAATCTCCTTGGTCCGTGGCCTAACACCCAACGACGGACGTCCACGTTTGGTACGTGTTCCATACATCTTCCGAGCCGTTCTCGTGAGAGGTGCCGGATTCATAGTTGGGATCCAATCCTCGGAAGTGTCGGAGTTCAGATCCAACTGCTCCGTCCCCGTACTGATAGTCTCCAGATCCTCGTCATCTTCCGAGTCGCAAGCCGGCCGACGGCTAAGCTTCCGTTTCATGGTTAAGGATCGCCTTCTCCATTCCCGGCGATGTTCCTTACCTTGTTCTTGCCAAATACCTCCCCATCGACGCGACATCTGCATGTCGGTAATACGTGCGATCCTAAGATCATTCTACTCCTGCTCTCGTTTCTTTTTCTCTCTAGGCTTCTCGTCTCTGACAACTTTCTACTATTCCTCAAACTTCTTCCTCTTGCGGTCTGTGACGCGCCAACTTTCGGACCTGCGCCATCTTCCAACCTCCCCCCCCCTCTTTCGAATTTGAGTGTTTTTGCAAATAGGCCGACAAGGCCTCCTTTTGTATTTCCATGAATTAATGTGCCTTGTTCGTAATCAGCGAGGCCCGTCCTTCTCAGGACCTTCGTCATTTTTGGATCGTTGTTTGGAGTTTCATCCTCTGCAATTCGGGAAATGCATGGGAATTATGCGCGCCTTAGCGAGCGTGCTAGGAATTTGGGTCGACAGTTAGGAATTCCGGAATGAGCGGAACCTGA